GCGATATTCACCTAGTAGCGGCAGCAGCCCGCCGTGATCTAGGCCGGGGAAATCGACGAGGCCAATCTATGGTTAGACCGCACCGGATAGGCCCGTTATTTGCACGGCCAGACGCCTAAGGCATTACGGATATGTGTCGAAACCCCCGCGGACGATACGGAGGGCGCCGAAGCCACCGCGCGGGTGATATAGGATACTATGTTCGGCGTAGTGAGTAAAAGCCAGAGCATCACTAAATAGACCGGATATTTATTATGGATCGAGGCCGTACGTACCGACATACAGAGTATCCTAGCGAAGCCATTATAGGCGTATATGCACGAGTACGCTGAGTTAGAGCGCCACGTCGAGCTATACTAGCGAGTGTTGATGTTTTTTGCGCGGACGTAGGTCCCCCACGAGTAGGAGAGTCCCGTATACTGATTTAATCGTTGGTAGCGTATCGCATAGGATGTATTATAGCGTGCCGCGTAGTACCTAGCGGGCCGGCCCGTGTAGAACCCTATCGACGGTAGAGACGACTAACCCTACCGGTTAGAGGCTATAGAGGCGCGATGTATGGATTTTGTGATTGAGTTATTAAACTAGCGGATTTAGTTAAGTGAGTACGAGTGCGTATTAGTATATATATTAGCTGTGTTAGGCGTAAGCGATCACGATAGGGGCCGGCCATAGAAGGATCCCTATAGTTATCCGCCGATATTATCTAGTATAATCAAGATTTCCCGGTTTATTATTATATATAAGGTATATTTGTTAGACCTAGACGCCCGTGAGTTAATCTAGGGGACGCAGAACTAGTGCGATAGGGAGTGGTCCGGGCCTAGCCCGATAGAGGATCCCGGATATATATTTAGCGATAAGGGGTATAGTAGCAGTCCGCTATCGACACCACCACTATATATATCGTCCACACTAATATTATCTAGTTCACCTATATTTAATAGTTTACCCACGAGATCTAGTTCGCTATTAGTGGTATTTACGTAGTAAGCACGGTAAGGAACGAAGATATTCCGCGAATAGATTTAAATTATGACTAGTGTATTTATGGTCCACGGTACCGCTAGCCTAATAGAATGGATATTAGATTTACGCCGATATAGGTTAAAGGTCTATTATAATACCCCGTCCGACGGGTATATTAGTTAGGAAGGCCATAACTAGTTATCGTATAAAGCGATACGGTTCACTATAGGTGCATTCCGAGGGTTTATCTATAGGTTAACCGCTAGTGCGCGGTAATTAATGGTCGACTATATATTAATATGCCGACTAGACTAGATTCCCGTGATCCTATAGGACTATATAGCGGACGATTTCAACCAGCCCAAGGCGGGGTGGAGTTTTTTGTAGGATCTACGCACGTCGTGGCCGGTTAATAGGGCCTAGTGGATGTTCGATTAAGTGCGTACGGAGCGTCCATTATAGCAGTTATTTATCCACGCGGATGAAGGGCGGTATAGTATCGATGGTATTAAATGGTTTTTTGGGTTCGTTAACAATTTTAAGGAGAAGTTGGCCGTATTAGTCTATATTATTAGCGGACAGCCGGCGCGAGGGCCCGAGTTATTAAGTATTCGTTATCGCAATACGGCCGCCGGGGGATAGCGAAACGTATTTATCGAAGATAGATTAGTGGCATTAGTCACGCGGTACCACAAAGGGTTTTACGCTAGTGGGGACGCTAAGGTGATCTATTAGTATATGCCCCGCGAAGTAGGCGAGTTAATTGTGTGGTATTTATAGTTGGTATTACTATTTATCGAGCAATTATAGGCGTATGATTAGCAGATATGCCAGTTACCGGCTATTCCCGATACCTAAGCTAGTAAGTTATAGGGAATCGATGCCGGGACCGAACGCGAGTGGACGTCGGTGCGTTTAAAAGAGGTATTGGTTTAGGAAAATAAGATATAATTATACTATAGATTAACGTTGGCCGTATACTGAGACATTACTATTGCTATTAGCCGACGGTATTTTAGCAATACCAAACCGTTTCCGTATAACGTCCGCGAGGATAGGACTGAGGTTATGGCCGACGACGAGGAGAACGAGGATACTATAGACGATAAGCAATAGATTCGCTATATCGCCGATTTACAAGCCGCGTATACCACGTATATAGCCGAGATAGTATACGGACGGATAATAAGCTAGTAGTAGGGGACCACGGCAGGCTAATAGGCCGGGTTTCGGATAAGTAGCGTGCATTAGCATAATTTATTAGGGTTTGACATTAAGGACATCCCTAGTAATATATTAGGTAAGCGGCCGTAGCCCCGGTAGAAGGACAAGGGGGTTATAATACGGGACGAGCGTTAGCATTTAGTCGAGACGACTAATATAACCGAGGCGTTATAGCGGATAACCGGATAGCCTATAATGCAGTTCTATAGGGTGTAGGGGGCCGCTATCCAGTCAATTTAAGCCGGCCATTCCTAGGTGGTCGTGGTGATACCCACTAGCGATAGGAAAAGTATATTATTTATATTACCCGCGTAGGTGGCCTAGCGTGGCGGATTGACCGTTGTAGTGGTGCCATTAACGGTATTACGTGCGGATTTACAATAGCGATACTAGGTGGCCAGCATTCTATATATCGAGTGGGACAGTAATCAATATCCCGATTATACGGCTATTATATTCGTCACGCCCGAGTCCGTATTCACGGATAGGTTCCAGTCATTTTTAAACCGCTAGCGCGAGTTAATATAGTTAGATCGGATTATTATTAACGAATGCTATATAATATTGAACGAGTCCGAGAAGTTTCGCCCACGGTTATAGTAATTAGGTCGGTTATATTAGTGTGGCGTGTAGATAGTGTTTTTAACCGCGATATTACCCCTATACGAGGAGAGCCGGTTATTTCAGCGAATACAAGTGACGCGGGAGGATATCAGTATACACCGCGAGCGTACTAGTCGTTATAATGTGGCATACCGGGTATACCGGCCCGTGATTGTATCGAGATATCGTTCCCAGACGTAATAGTTAGAGGATCCGGGTGTCCGTCATTTTATTAACGAATAGGTATAGCGTGCCAGACCCGGTTAAGTGATTATATATAGTAGCACTAAGCCTATTATGACCTAGGTGGTAGAGATATTGGGATATTCCGCATTTTATAGCGACCAAGATAGTAAGTTAGGAATATTGGAATAGTTCCAGTGTACCACGAACGGGGTGATTGCGGCCACTAGTACGTTAGGTATGGGTGTGGATATTCCCGATATTCAATATATTATTTATATTGGGTTCCCCCGGTCATTATTAGATTATGCGTAGGAAAGTGGCCGTGCCAGGCGAGACCGTTTACCCAGTGAGGCTATTATTATCTAGCCCAAAGGGTTTGACGAGGTTCCCGCATGGTTTGACCAAAACACGGACCGTGAGAAAGCCAGGTTGGAGTTAGTCCGGCAATATATCGCCAGTGAGCATTAGTGTCGGCGAGTGTTATTAGATAGGTATTTAGATAAGGACATCAATAGGTACACCTAGCAGCGATACGGCGACTAGGACGGGCTATTCGGAGTCGATAAGCAATAGTGTGATTAATATTAGCCGGATTAGGAGGCGGCTGAGTCCGTGATCGAAGGCAGCTATAAGGACAGCGACGCCGAGATGCGGGAAGATGAGCCAAGCAGAAGCAGTCCCTATCCCATGGGGGGTGGTGGGATGCATTGCATACCAGTTAGGGTTTTGGCTTTACTATGGGCGAAAAACGGCGCTAGTGAGTGCATACCAGTTGGACTTCTCGAGTGCATCCCAGTTGAAAATATCGGTCGGACAATCATCAAAACTTCAAAAGTTCTAAATTCGCGATCGCTCTATACCCGGTTTCAATTTAAAGATCGTACAATCAAAAGAAGAGGTAGTTACAGGGGTTAGAAATTTGGACCTTTTTTTTTGATGGGGTGCGCTTTGGCCAGTCGTGCGATACTTAGTCACCCTTAGGCTAGGGGTTTACATAAGCTTAGTATAACCCTCAAACCCTACTACTTTATTAAAGAAGGCCTTCTAGTAGCTATACTACCTTAATTAACGAATATAAATAAAAAGGGTAGATAACTTCTCTATCTCTATCCTTACGTAGGAGATACTATATATGCTCCTAGGTATGCATGACACCTTAGGCCGCAGCCGCGTTTACTATATTATATATTCCACCACTACAATATCTATATATTCTATTATAATTCGCTAAAGACGTATCTTTAATTATACTTAGTATACTAATAAGATTAATAGATAAAGAACGGGGGAAGTCACCTCATTGCAGTCGATAATAGGCTTAATGGACTCGTATAATGGGACTGAGGCAGTTATCTTAGTGTAGTCGGACAATGGGACTAAGGTAGTCATCTTATTGCAGTCAGATAATAGGACTAAGGCAGCCACCTTAATGGGAACGCACAATATGCTCTATAGTCTCGGACAATAAGGCTCAATAGACTTATACAATAGGACTGAGGCAGCCACCTCAATGCAAACGCCCAATGTGCTCAATGCAAACGCCTATTGTGCTTGACAGAATTGTACAATGGGACTGAGGCAGCCACCTCAATGCAAACGCCCAATGTGCTCAATGCAAACGCCTATTGTGCTTGACAGAATTGTACAATGGGACTGAGGCAGCTATCTCAATGCAAACGCCCAATGTGCTCAATGCAAACGCACAATGTGCTCAATAGTCTCGGACAATGAGGCTCAATAGACTTGTACAATAGGACTGAGGCAGCCACATCAATGCAAACGCATTATGGCCTCAATAGACTAGGACAATAGACGTACTTCGGATGAATGTACAATCCTCAATATATAATCAAGTTTTCTTCCTTTTCGAACTTACCTTCCTTTATATCTCTCTTACCTGACCACTTTCTCTACCTTAAAAATCAACCTTTTTTTTACTTCTTTTTCTAAAATCACTGATTGTCTCTCGCCCTGTGCCCCCCTTCTTCTCTCGTTTTTTGACGTACAATTACGTCAAGATGTCTCCCTTGTACGAACCCAACCCAAGCAGTGAAATCAAACTAATTCCGATTTAGTTCCTCCCTCGTCTCTCGCCGTGGTGGTGGTAGCCGTGGCGGACGTGGTGGCTCTGGATCGTTGTATGTATGCTTCCTTTCCTATAGCGATATATGTGAAACTAACTATTGTACAGCGGAGGTCGGGAGCGGAGTCCCTATGCCGGCGAAGGTATCCTGAACTTTGGTCCCGGGGAATGGAGCAGGTAAGCTCTTGACTTTTTTATGAACGATCTTTAGCTAATGTGCAATCTCTACTAGCTGGCCCTTCCCCTACACTGACCAGGATGGGAACCCTCGTCTTCCTCGTACGCACGCGGAGGGTATCCAGTCCCTCATCCAATACGCTGAACGACCAGGCGGTAACCAGGGTCAGCTTTAACTCCCAGTTGGCGGCGATGAGCTTGCCCGGATGTGCACAACTCCGGTGCAGCTCGCGATCCTTCGGGGTCGTGGACGCCCTATCTGGCATGTACGAGGCAACATTAATGGGCAGCAAATTGTCTCCTAGCGACCCTCGTATATTAATGCCCTGCTGATCCAGTCCCGTGGCAATCAACTCGTTCAGCCTTGCGAGGCGTGTGTGGACCGGTGCAAACCTTTTCCGTAGTGTATCCGACTCCCGGGTCAGTTTGGCGGCTGTTGTGGCAATTGTAAGTGGCGTGATCACGTATCTCGGTGCTCTGTACGAGATAGACAGCCCCGCAATGCTACACGGCCATGGCCATAGCACCCACCTCGTCCCTTACCCGCAACGGATATTATTGACCTAACGGACGACCGGAGTGTCGTCCGGTCGGCCCAAGGGCTATCCCGTCGGGCCTATCAACGTCCTCGTGCGGATAGCGAGGTCCAAGAGATCACTATAGTGGATTTGACTGAAGAGGAGGATAACCGGCGTCGGACCGAGCCTTCTCAACTTGCTTGGTACGAAGAGGCCTAGGGAGGACGTACAATATGGGTGGTAGGGAGTGAAGATAGCATTTTAGGCTAGAAGAGGGAATACTTACAATACCGAATGAAATCCGCATTTTTATTACTTATAATCATTCGTACAAGTTGCATTTACCAGAGGGGGGCCGGTTCCGGCAACCCCCCACGTTGAGTTTAGCGCCCGTCCGTCGTGGGTCCGGTCCGGTTTAGCGTCGTCCCGATCAGGTATAGTGTCTCGCGCTTTCCCCGGACGGGATCTGCCTCTCATCACCGCCCGCGCGGGCCCCCGTCAACTATATAGTCCGGACGGTGCGTCGCTCAACCATTTCCCAGTTCCTTCCCACACCCATACGCTCCTTCTGCACTCCATTGCCCGGGCACAGCGCACGGGCGCGGACGCCACCATTTTGGCCCCGTACCCCTCGGAGATGACCGTTCCCCCAACGAGTGCTACGCCCCCTTTGCTCCCCACTCATGTCTTTGCGACGGTTCGCTCTCGGCCTCCGACTTGGTCGATGTCAGCGTGAATCGCTGATCATTTCTGGATGGAGGCGTGCTTGCCTGTTTTGTCTGCCCCCCGAAATGGTCTCATGCCCATTGGGAGTTGCCTACTGGAGCCCGGTCCAAACCTCTTGAAGTATTCCTTCATATTCGGGGAACTAATTACAGGCTGAGTCTCATTTTCGAGACGGGACGATGACTTGTCGATAGGCATGTGGTGTGTGCACCTGCTCGGCGCAGTGTAGCCACCAATGGCAAAAATGCCTCTTGCGTTCCCGGGGTGCCCGTCCTCCGGTGTGGGCACGAAGACGCTCCGTTGATCCCCAACAGATAATGACTTCTGAAAAGGCGCTCGAGCGGGCTGCATGATGACTCCGCCGAGGGGCCGTCGCGGATTGCTCCGGTTGGCGGGACAATGATGTGGGCGCATTCGTGACTGTAGCCAGGCGGTGCATCATCTGCACGGGATTGCGACGATTCGGAACCTGAGATATTGCGGATTTAAGCCCTGCGAGGCTGGTGTGGAACGGCAGAAGTGCTTGTCTTCATTCCACGAGAAGACCAGAGGGATCGATCTAGCGAACTGGTCCTCTGCCATGGCAGCCATCTCATGCGCAAGCATACCGATTCGCTGAAGCGGCGTGCAGGGCAACCCCGTCAGACTGTTCGGACATGCGGACCATGGCCCCTGAGCGAGGCTGATTCTGACATGGAATGGAGCTATCTCCTTTCCTGTGGGTCCAAACTCTCATAAACCCCCTTGTAGCTCAACGACACCCTGCTAATCGCGTAAGCCTTGCCTGTGGATGGGGGCATGTGCAACCTCCGTGTGGCGATGCTGCTTGGCATTATTTTGACAACTGATCTCGGTACTTTATGAACACTTCCCGCCCTTTTTCCCATTTCTCTATCCAAGCATATTTCATTTGCTGTCTGGAGATTATGGCCGCCATGAATATCAGCCTCGATAAAATTAGCTTCTACTCTCATCCTCCTACAAAGTCCTCCTCGCGTGACGTCGCTGCTTCTCGTTGGAGGCCATATCAGGCTTCTTTAGCTCCACAAACTCTTCCCCGTGCCCTGCCGCCGAGACCGCAAGTTCATGGAACGACCTTCAACTCAGAATCCGATGCTAGCCTTAATGTCTCTCCGCAAATTCAAGCTCCTGTGAGGGAAGCCTTGGATTCACATGCAGGCAGTGAATTTGATATCGAAATAGGGAGAGCTGTGATGCATAACAGCCAGGTCACGCACGAGACAGACTTGGACATGCCTCTCGACTCGGGGCTGTTAAACGAATGCCGAATCGATGTGCCTCAAAGCAACTACAAATCCTTGGTTACTGGTATGTCAGGATTCTTGTGGGCCGGGACAAGCGAACTTAACTAATATCATCCACCAGATCATCCAGACCGGTGCCCTGTGGGAGAGGTTCATAGTGACATAGATACCGCTTTGATATCAGCAGAATCTCAATTGTATCATTCAGGTAGGCGTCAATCTTATTTTTTGTTCGACTTATTTTCCTGAACTCATAATAGACCCGCCCGTCACCCCAACCGTCACCCCAACCGACTTGCTAAGATGGCGTCGAGACAGTATCTCGTCGTTAGGAACTTATGATGAGACCGACAATAGCCCTGCTCCACCCGAAGTCAACTTGCATTGCCCGCGTGTCATGCCATCACCTTCGCCCGATTTGCCAGCACCGCCCAGTATTGAAACAATCATACAAGACGAATCCGTTGAAGACGACACCATGTCCGGGCCAGAAAACAATGGAGGTCGGACGGGAGTTCTGGGGGATGAGGTGACAAGACAAAGTGTTCAGGTCAATGAACCCTCAATCAGCGAGGCTATTTCGGATGAGGATGAAGGAGTCGGGCTCACTGAGGAGAGCCAAGCTCCTGTAATTTTTCGTCATGGGCCTCGCACTCGTTCAATCAAGCAGTCTAAAGCCACTCTGGCAAGCATATGTTCCTTGCGTCCACGACCAAATGCAGGCTTTTCCCGGCCAAAGCAATTCCCTGCCGTTTCTGTGGTCATCCCAGCCCGTCGAGTTGATGAATCGGCGGGAAGCACCAAGACGGATGCTCCGGCCAGAGCACGACGTAGCAATTGGGGCGGCAGCGGTGACTTCAACAATGACGGGACAATGCGGGTATCGACGGGAGAGTATTCACCATTTTCAGGTGGATCCAATTCCAAGACGACAGGACACCCACCGAAAAGGCCGAAGAGGGCAAAGCAGAATCACTTAGCCCAGAGAAATGCTATCGTGGTGGAATGCGCTACTCAGTCCCCAAAGCCCTCGAAGGGTGGTGGTTTGGCTGTCACATCAGGTGAAACACAAGAAATTTTCGGCCGCGGAGTTCTCCGTATCGAAGCTCGTGGTCCTCGACATGCCTATTTCATGACGTTCCTTCCGGAAGTTTCACATCGCCCGTCTACGGCAGAAATGCCTCCTGATCAGTCTTCACGTTCCGAAGGTTTCTCCGACAACGCATCATCGCGACTTGTGCGACGCAGAAGACGTCAACGAACGATGTCCACAACATGTGAAGATGGAGATGAGTGGTCCACAAAAACACCACTGAATTCGCGATCTCGTGATACGCGCAACAAGGTCCAACGAAAACCCAGGAGGCGTTTGCCGTGGTCTTCGGAAGAGGTGAATTTTCTGCTGGATTTAAGAAGAGACGGGCAAAGACCGTGGTCAGAGGTGACGAGCTTATTTTTAGATCGATTTCCCAGAAGAAGCCCTGGCTCAATCCAAGTTTACTGGAGTACGCACAGGCTTCAAGAAAGTATGACAGAATAAGATCATGCCAATTATCCTATAAACAAAGCGTATGGTTCAAGCGTCCTCGCCATACACCGCTAACAGGTACATATAAAAGGAGATTTCCAATGTGGAGGTCCTTAGACAATCAATCGGATCGTTTCTAATTTGAGAAATATTCATATGGAACAAAATGGGGATCGGTAACGTCTCTCCCCGGGTGTAGGACCTTGTCAATAGATCGTCATCCGTGGAAGAAGCCGCATACGAAATACAATTCGCGAGTTGAGTTCTTTCCACGACTAACTTATTAATAGGAGTGAGGCGTCCGGAATTGGGAAGATGAACTTGATCGCGCTAAGCATCATCGAGAACGTCTTGAATACATGCATTAAATCACCTCCAGCTGATTCCACGAAAAACCAAGGGCAAGTATAATACTCCTATCCCTTCGCTCTCAACATTGCCGTCGTAAAAAATGACTATTGCGCTTTTGCACATTTGAAGCGAGTCCCCAAATTCTTTTAAAACACTTGCTTCTCTGCTTTGTTTTCCACTTCGTAATTTCATTCCCAGATATCCTATCTCGCACGCACTGCTATGGCTGCTACGACTTCCTCACAATCATATCTCCTAAAGAATAGAAAACAGATGCGTCAAAAACAAGGGCGCCACAAGACTTGTCTAATGAAAAAGGCATCCGAATACAGCAAAACTTGTAACGCAGACGTCTGTGCGGGGATACGGTTACGTGAGACAGGCCAGGTCTTCATTCTATCCGCGGATATAACGGGGTTTTGGGACTTTATCAAGTCACAAATAGTATACTGCCGCGTAACAGTCTTATAGACGTAGAAGGCTGACTCCTTTAGGGTTCGTACTATCCAGTCCCGAGGTTGATCACTGAACGAAACCTGGAAAAGGCTGGGAAAAGTGCCAGAGGCAGGCTATCAAGCGGAATCGGTACGTCACAGATCAACAGAAATAATGGAGGAGCCGGAACTGCATGGCATCTATACAGTACAGAAGCTTCAGACAATCTGGGCTTTACATACTGCAACTATCAAGTGCAACCTCAATTTTCCCGGATTGGTGAATTTATCGAACTCAAGCGATATATTGTAAAGAAAGATGTTTATCAAGCGACTTGGTATAAAAAATTAAAATACCTCTTGGAAGTGTAGGCTTTACTGTGTGGCTTTGGAAGGAATTCCGAAATATTGCCCGGAGCTCCTTCCCATGATAATAGTATTCGGTTGTCCCGCTGAAAGTAGATGGGCGAAAGCAACGCAGAAAGACGGCTTCTGTGCTTAAACTCTCCGTGTTTGAACTTTTATCATTGAACTAAACCTGTAACACGATATACATGATTCATCCTGCAAAAGGGTAGCATTCGACATAACCTGTGAAAGGTGCACGACAGATAGGACACCTCTTCGGCGTTGCAAGATTTTTTGCGCACGACTTACAAACAATGTGCCCACATAGAATAGTCACCCAGCGATCTGGCTGCAAAAAGCAGACACTGCACCCTAAGATACGCCTTTCTCTTTGCTGGGAAAGTTCCTCTTGCGTCTTTTGGTGCCCCTCCCTCTCCAGGCGAATTTCATCTCGAAGCATTCTATTCTTCTCTTGTAACAGCTGGATTTCACGGTCAAGTGCCTTTCGGAGCCCCCCGAAAGCGTTGTCCTGGTCCATTATTAGTTAAGCAGGGAAAACATATTGTGAGGAATTGGTACCAAAGCAGACGGCTCCTTTGTTTCGATTCCTCTGCGTTTGCGCGATGGTGTCGTATCCGCCTCCGCATTAACTGATTCAATGATTATGCTCTCAAAGTCCTGGTAACTGTAATCACGGCGCGAGGCCCTTTGAGGTCGTAAGCTACCTGGCTCGAGCCTTGGAAGTTCCTCGTCGTCGGCTATAACAATAGTGTTGGAAGGGATTGCCATCGAGATTTTAGTCGCCACGCTCAGGGGAGGAAAGCCGGTACAAGCCGGCCTGGGGAAAGGAAAAGAAAATATCAGAGCATGCGGCCGGTTAGGGCAAGGAGGCCCTTTATATATCTGAGAACCAACAGCGACGAAGTCAGGCCCGATAGGTAATTGGACGCTGGTGCGATCAACCTGCATGGCACGATTGGACGTCAAGTCGTGATGGTGTGAGACTGGGCTATATCGCTGCATGCGCTGCCCCGACGAGGCAGACAGTTGCATTTCTATATCTATCCAAAGACCAAGGCCCCCGCTTAATTGCTATTTAGTGGATCATGGCCTGCTCATCCTTGTCTCTGAAGTTCCTGCGCCGGATTCGGACAACGCCAGCGACTGCGCACATGATGCGCACCAAAGGCGTGGAGCTAGAAAGCCATCTTATGTAGCAAGGCTATTTTACACCAGTTGTACTCGAGTGGCTCCTCGTTTAAATGAATAGTGTTAAAGTGACGCGTAACATGTCTGGCGTCGTGAAACATCCGAAAGCGATGCGCAACACTCTTATAAACAGTGGCTTTCTTCTCTCCCTCATAAAACTTGCGGGGACTTGTCAGAAGGCTGAATTAGTATAGTTGAACCGGAAGTCAACTACTCAGGGACCGGATTCCTGACCTGGTGGCCCAAGAATATAACTTTCTTGAGACCCCGGGTAATGCTAAGAAGGGGGTAGTCAAAAATGATAACAAAATCGTTCTCTCGAAGGTTGACTTGAAGAAGGAAAGGTCAAAATTTTAGGCAGTCTGCTATATGGAAAACTACTTACCGTTGTGACAGCTCAACAGCTGGACTATTCCGCTCAAAGTATTTGGCGCCTTCGTAGCTCGGTGCTCCACTGCGCTTAGTAATCTTGAGGTGTTCTGATTCGATCAGTGATCAGCTCACTGAGCATCACCTAACACTCACCTCATCAACACGATGCGCTCACCGAGCATGACGTGAGCGTAGGTGAGCAGGTTTTGGAACACATTTCAATGGAACCAACGGTTTAATTCCATCCATGCACAACCGCTGCAGTTTATTGCGTCATTCAACAGCACTGCTTTCAATTCAAACGTTCATATTGGTCAGTGTGCTGCATTTCATGACCCAACAATGTAGTTTGTTACTAAGACAAACGACTAACGGTTATCAGGTCACAAAACTCTGAGAACACTTGTTGCACGGTTCTTGTACTAACGGGTAGATTGGCAGAATCTACAGCCTTGACTAGCTCAAACAAGATATTTCCTGGTAATACTTTTGTGCTCCCGGGAGACGATGTAGCCTCCTGGGAGGGGTGGTAGATGAATCTGGGAATAAATTGGCTCCTAGGAGCTGATCAGAAACCCCCAGTCCCACAAACTAGACACTATAAGGCAAGTCAATTAGTCCTCTGTTATTCATCCATTTTCTAATTTAGATACGTATTATCTATTTGCCATCATTTTGGTCTCCCCATTCCGCTACATACTGCGATAAAGATGGAAAGTTTCTCATGCAAAGATGATTGGTCTCTGTCAAGCGATCATATATGTCTATCATGGAAAGATCCCATCGCTGAAGCCTTGCATGATTCCGCTGACGGCATGGTGAAGACGAAGATGTCTCGCGCAGAACTTCGCTGTCCTGCAAACGCACAACAAAGCATGGCTTTAGGAGAAGCCAGCCTACTGGAAAGTTATCTAGATCCTTGTTGGTATCAGCCAACCTCTTTAAGAGCAGGTTCAACCATTGATCCACCGTTTGGTATACTGTCGAACGAGACAGATTCGCTACAGACCATCGCACCAGCAGACGTTTTGATTGACGCATCAAAGGACTTGCTCCATTCTCTTGACTTTGACTCCCTTGACTTTGACTCCGAATCAAAAAGGCAGCCACCCTCGGCGCTCGACCAAGTGTTAGAATCTAGCCCCGACCTCATACGTGGACAATCATTAAAAGGTCCACCTAGGCGCGGTATGGAGAAGAACGCCTCTCAACGATTCAAGGGGAAGTATGAGCCACAAAAGGACACCAAGAACGTTCAAGAGCAATCAAAGAGGACTTGCGTCCCCCGCAGCCCAGGTAAAGAGGATCCTGCCAGCATTGAAACGAGAGGGATGTTTGAGTGTAATGAGACTTGGTGCAAAAGAAGCTTCAAACGTCGAGAGCATCTGAAGCGCCATTCGAACAGCCATCTCAACGAGAGACGCCATATCTGTTGGGTACCTGAATGTCACCGTGCATTCTTGCGGCCAGATCACCTCAACGCACACAAGAGTGTGCATAGCAAACAAGGGGGTCGAAATCGCTATGTTGCCAGCCTTGATGAGAAAAGCCCGTTTTATGACCCGACTTACCGTGGACAGCTTACGTCTGACGGGTATCCGTCCTATGACATGTCCTCGTGATAACAACCGGCTGGAAGCCGCAGTGGGTCCCCAAGGATCTGACCTAGCTACCTATCTGTATCCTTTTTTCGTGAAGGTATCTGGCAGAATCCGGTTGATGTTTCGCAGACGACCGCCTTGCCAAGATAAGCTCCATTCCTACCAACTTCATTTGCCTGCTCACCTTTCTCTACCCAATGGCTAAATGATGAAAGTATTTGAAATGCGCCAAGGAGTTGCAACGTACATGACTCGCGTTGTCGGATGGGCGGGGTTTCTGTTACGGGTAGCGATCTGCGTTATGTCCTCCTTGATCACCGTAGTTGGAATTTTTGGAGGAATCCAGTAGGAGAGGGCCCTTGCACCAGCAAGGGTAGCTTTCGAGACAAAGCACAAAATAGCGAGTCACGACAAAATATGGGATGTCTATGGAGAGCGATGCTTGGCTTTTATAAATCTTTACAGAGACCTTTTACAAGTCAGGGGCATTCTTGCCTGGATCGGACGGCTCCCATTTTCAATAGTCCAGCCACTTCATGCACCACAAGGACTTGATAGATCGACCACAGAAAATCTTAGCACTGACCCCGGGTCATCTTTGCCATGCGCTGGGGGCATTTAAAGGGGCCCTAGATTGAGGCCTATCCCCAGCAAAGGTCAAACGAACACGATCAACTGATCTCACCGTTCTCAGTTATGGTCTCTGCCGCCACCTCCAGGGAAAGTTTTACTAGATGGAAGACAACGGCATATCGCGCCAACATCCTCACGAGAGAAGATGTTTTCAACATTTTGCCCTTATCTACATCGACCGAGAAGGAAAGCTTTGCCATGAGACGTCACCTTCTATCTCCAACAGTATCAAGACAATTCTGTCCCCTCAGGTCACCAGGTGTTTTTGGAAAGCGGTGGCAGAATCAAAGGAACGCGGCTTTTCAGCACCAGGACTGCCCGGCAACCAGCCACCTTTTCTGCCCACGTCATCGCTCGCGCCGCCTACACCTGGACCGGCAAAACCTGGGGCAAGTCTCCGTCGCCGAAGAGAAACGTGGACTGAGGGGCACACTCTGGCTATCCAGACGGCCACGATCCCTGTCAATGAGAAACGTCTACTTCGTCAATACTATGAGAAGGTCTTCCAGAACTTGCAGCAAACAAATTGCCGAGTTCTTGCCAAGGTCTGGGTGAAACTTGTTGAGCCACGCAAGCAATTTCATTTTCCCTACAATGGGAGGAAGATTGTGGAGGGCAAAACAATACAATTCAGCCCCAAAGAGACTCAGCCGTCATGGTGGCCGCCTGGAGTGAGTCACCGAGAGCCCGACCACCTTCCCAAAGCTGGTAAGAAGATGAGCTGTCTTCTGCGCTTTTGATGCAACTGACCTTCCAATCAGAGCGTATCGCACTCCTCATCCATATCCTTTGCGAATTGCACACCAGTCACGGAATCACTGCGCAGAAACTGAAAGATGCAGGACGGCATATTCAACAGTCCATCTCTCCGATTGAACGACTACAATTACTAGACGAGCTATACCGCGTGAAAGAAGAGGAGGAAAAGTTTCTTGATAGGGTCACGGGTAAGTCCTTGCAATTTCCGGTAAGGTCCGGGCTAAAGGAATGCAGATGGTAATACAAAAGTCTCAATTTCGCGCGCGAACCTACCCGATTCCACGGTAGTCGGAGACAGGGGACATCATCAGAGTTTGGAGAGGACCTGGATCGCGCAAACGTCGGAACACGAGCCACCGATTCAGAATACGTCAATCTGCTTCCAAACTGCTCAAGACATGATCCCATTGAACCTGCCTGTGGACCCGTGTGCTATCACAGACATCCATCATGAAGAAGATCTTTCCATTGAACCCAACTCTTCACCGTCGCCGGTGTTGCTTCAAGGCCTGAAACGGAGCTTTTCGAGTGTTGAGGATGCGGGGGTTCCCACCAGGCCCTCTACCGCTGAAATCTGCTCCTCATCCTTTGTCGCGTTTCACCCTTTATCTTTAGTTACCTATGAGGACTTTCCACTTGATGTAAGCTACCCTGGCACAGGATTTGTTTGGAACGACCCGTGTAATCAATGACTTTCCAATTCGCTTAGTATTACTGGAGCTGCAGTTGACTATCTGGCTAGAGCCAGCTTGCGAGATTGGGCATGTCATTGACCTCGGAAGATGGGAAAGACTCTTCTTCGACTTGCTCACCGATAATGAGTCTCATTGATGCTTTACAAAGATCATTACTCCTTCGATTTTATGACTCTGCTGGAGAGTGACTTTTGGCTCATAGTCTCGAGGCGCGATGATAGGGGTGAAATGGAGGGTTTTGTTAGGCCTCTCTCCTTCGTCCATGGCTTTGTGTCTCCATACTTATAGCCGTCTATGCCAGCAAACCAGCGCTGGGTATAGACCATATCAGCCCTCTCCAGATTTTGATCTCCGGTCCAACCAAGCACGGATAGCCCATTGCGTTTCGCTGTTGTGTATTTTTAGAAATTCAGCTTTCTGTAGCCACGGGGAGTTTCATGGTCTGCCCAATGCCGAAAACGGTAATAATCTTGGATCGTACGCCCGGTTCCCACTCGCAGAAGCTTTGGAAACAATGGACCTGGAGAGGCTACGCGAAATCAAAATGATCGGCCCCACCCCCCTGCCACCTTGGCGACCCGAGACATTTTCGGAATCGAAATTGAGCCGGACAAGGAGATCGCCATAGAACGAGCAGAAACGGCACGATCCGCCTCGGACATTGTCGTCTACTCAAACGCCTCGGAACGCCAAGGCCACCTGGGCGCAGCAGCGACGACACTCAATGACAGCACGGGGACGGCGGATTTTCTACAGATTCAGGTGGGGCCAATGGACCGGTGGTCAGTACATGCCGCCGAGCTAGTGGGGATCCTGTATGCCATCAATATCATCAACAAGGCTGCCCTCCAGCGATGGAGGCTAGCCGGCTTGCACACCAGAACTGCGACCATCCTCAGCGACAGTATGTCGGCTTTGCAAGCTATCCAGAACCCGAAAATCAAGTCAGCACAACAGATCATCTTTGCCATCCTGGAATCGGCCAAGAACACCAAGTCAAACGACATCGCAATTCGCCTACAATGGATGCCCGGACACTGCGAGGAGCCCGGTAATGACACCGCAGACCAATTGGCCAGAGAAGCAGCCGTGCCGGGAAAAACCTATCCCTTCGCCCCATTACTATCTCGCGAGAAGGCCTTTATCCGGAGAGGGATCTACGCTCAGTGGGAGAAGGAATAGAAGGAATCCAGAACAGGTAGCCACCTCCGGAGAATCGATCACTCACTACCGGCCAAGTACACGAGGCGGCTTTACGGGCCGCTACCGAGGAATCGAGCCTATCTGCTGACACAACTGCGGACGGGACACTGTTGGTTAGCGACATATGCAAAAGTGTTCCGCTTTCGTGACGACGATCTGTGCGTCTGCGGCGAGCGAGAGAGCGTCAGTCACGTTCTATTGGATTGTCCGGATCTGAGAGGTCTGCGACGGGAGCTACGAGCGAAAGTGGGCGACGCTTTCAGTAGTGTGTCGACTTTGCTAGGGGGTTCGGAGGAAGGAAGAGGTAAGCCTAATCATGCCTCGCGTGTCAAGACGGTGGACGCCGTCTTGGAATTCGCAGAGGCATCCCAACGGTTTCAAAGTCGCGCGCCACGAGGGCGGCAATCACAAACGGCATCTAGGCCACGGCAGGCCTCGGCGAGGCTCTAAGTTCGTCTAAGAAGTGGTACATTCTACCTGTACATACATGGTTATATATAGTTGAGGTAGCCTGCATATCGCTTTCAAAGTTGAACCCTGGATTGAGGTACAAGTGTGATAATTGACCTATATGGAGAGATCCAGCTATTTATAGTTGCAGCAGCTCATCTCCCTGCTGCCTAGCGGAGTGCCTGCCTAACAGGCAGCCACTCCTACAGATCTATATACATAACGTGACCTGGGATCCAACTTTCAATTTTGCGAGGGGTCAGGGTAAATGAAGTCATGCATATATACATACATACATACTGTACGCTCGATGATATGATGGAAAGAATCGTGTACTCGAAGTCTTTGCGGCCAATTCGGGGTGAGTGCATCAGTCTTCTTACGTGTTGAAGTGAGAACAAGAACTTTTGAAGTTTCCGCCACAACTGCGTGATGCTCTACTGCGCGAAAATACGGTCTCACTTAAGAAATCAGGCCTGAGAGCTAGTGACCTGGAAAGCTTGAGAGCACATCAAATTTACCAATGGGTTTTGATGATAATGAACAGAAATTTATTTGCATTTCTTGATAACTACTCTGTACATTATCAATCAAAAATCCATCGATAAAATTGAATTGTCCGGTTAGTCAACTATGCGGCGGTGCCTTTCCTCATTACACTTTCACGTCGGTTAGGATTCATTGCGCTGGTGCTGGTCCTGGTAGAATACGCTGTGTTGGTCGCACCGAAGATGGTGCCAGAGTTTTTGCAACACTCTCAGGGGCTTGTATAAAGCCCTGAGTCGGAAAATACATCTCAGGCCTTTCTAAAGAACGAGAATTGGCTGGCGGCTCTGCACCCTGGCTTGTTTCATTTGTGGTCTGCTGCCCACTGTTCTCAGCCTCAGTGTCCCGAGTATCGGGAATATTGAGGTTGATGCCTTTTTGGCTGCTGGTTGCAGTTTTACTGCGATCCAAATTCATCCCATCCGTATCTGCATGACCGTGAGTAGTATGATTCAATGTGCCGCACGATGCAGAGCTCCCCAGATGAAAGTACTGGGAAGGAGAACAAATAACGGTTTCCTCATCACTATGCACATCTCGCGCTGATGGGCTCCGTGAAGGCGTCAGATAAAACCTCCCTATAGTGGAAGTTGAAGGAGATGAAACCGGCAATTGAAAGGGGCGATTCGACGTTGCTTGCGATGTTACTTCCACTACAGGTTGCATGGAACGAGACCTTATCTTCTTTTTTCGGCGTAAATGCCCGGCGCCTTTCTGATAAAGTATGGCTTGAATGGCCGAAATCGTTCGCGAATGACCGAAGTCCTTCCTGAATTCCAGCTCAATCTCTTTGTCAGTTAGATGGGCCCGGGGCTCGAACCACCCAACAACACGGGATTTCTCTTCTCCGGTCCATCGGCGGCCAGGAGGAAATGCTGAATATCAGAGTCAGCAGGACGGATCCAATTTGGAAGTTTATAACTCACGCATCTTGGCTACATCATGCTTTCGTGGGATTCCCACTGAGACTTCCGTCGGAGTGGCGCCGCTTAAATGAGCGCTCGAGTCGGCGTCAGTCAAGTTTGCCTGTGCAGCCTGAGAATCTCCGGAAATTGGTGAAACACTTGAGGTTTCCAGCCGGGCAAGCATATCGTCTACTTTCTCGAGCACATCTTGGCTTATATCTGCCACTAGAAAAGGTCAGATTACTTCTTCGCCAATGTTAGTACACAATACTTACTGTCCAGGAGTATGCAGCCCCATGAAGATATTTCTTTTGCCATCAGGTTGAGAGCGTCAAGCTCCGTCTGTACGTCAATTTGATGGAACCGTGGGTGAATAAGTTGTCGCAGATGCCCGGCCGAAATCAGGTGATGATCAAACTGGCATACTTCAACCCGGACCTTGCGCTGCGGAAGATAGTAATGGTATTTGCCATCTTGATACTTGACCTCCGGAGAGCTCTCGCGGACAACATCGATCCAACTGACGTCATCGCTGCAAGCCTCCAGGATCTTAGGTCGCGCATCAGTGAACATATAAGTCATTCTCTGAGCCAAAGCATCACTAATGAGCGGTACTTCGAAGAACCGAGCGAGGCTGTAATCTCTCTTTGCTGTACCTTGCAGTTTTTGCAAAAAGTTGTGAACAAGTAGCAAATCTTGATGGGGGCCATCGAAGAAGTGTCTGCGAATTCTTTCTTCGCACGGCCCAAGACTGAAATTGTAGGACAAATCGCCGCCATTGCACGTGTTCTCTGCATTATCATGTCTAGACTCCATTGGGAAAGAAACTGAGGCCTAAGCAAAGATATTAGAACACTATCATCCGTGAAGAAGCAAGACATACTGGGCAAGTGGGCTCGTGACTACTCTTTTGGTAACACAATCTGGGACATTGGCTTTGCTTCGGGTCTGTGACTTTATCTTACTTTTATATCCAGCAGGGCATATCACGTGTAATACTGCAACCTGGAAGCGCTGTTCTTACTCCATGTTGGGCTCGTTAATATCTCTTGTCTGGATTTAACTGAACAAGGGATCAGTTGTAGACGAGAGGCGACGCGGGAAATATTGTCTCATAGTTTACAGGCATTCTGAAACGACCAATTGTAAGCGTAGTCGTATGTTGGGGGGCGTTTGAAACAGTTTTTCTTGTCTTTACCTCTTCTAAATATGGTAAGCCGAGCCAGCTTGCGAGACTGATGACTCGACTTGCGTGAGACATTTCATGCCACTTGCAGGGATAATCACGAAATCCTTGTCCTCAATGATGTTTCTCGTAGTCGATCAGCAATTATGTTTACTCATCGAATCTTCTGAAGCAAATTGCGGGGGCTTGCACGTCCACCGGGGAATGGAGATTCCGCCCGGCGCACTGTGCACTGTGTACCCGAAGCGCAATTCCGACCCTCAAGGATATTCTGACTAGGGTTATGAACAGGGTGCACGGATACCGAGGAACAAAATTGGGCTTACTTCACCAAATGGCCCGTCACATAAACAGAATCAACAACATCGCCAAATTGTCCAGCCGATTGGGGTCAGCTTTACCCGTTCATAGTTGAAATGATTGTTCACGGGGATAGATCATCCATAGATGTGTCCAGCACATCAGGGAAGTCTCAGTCCACGTCTTATCATCAGCTCATCTCAACACTCTTGTTATTTGGTTCAATTGCTTCACCGCACGGGCACACAGGCCGTTTGCCGCTCTGGGGCGGATTTCTCCAGAACAAGGGGCATTTTATGATTTGGAATTATGACGGCGTCTAAATCATGTCACAGGATGCTTCAGCCTCGTGCCACGAATCACAAAGATGGTCCATTGTTGGTTTTCTCGGCGTCTGCGCACAGTGGATCCGGATCCCTGCAAGCGACAGGGGTGGAGAATTCGACGATCAGTGGAGAACGGCTGGACCATGTTCGGTCTGAGACCCGTAGCTATCACCCCTCCCCATGCGCGCTATCACCTTGAGCAACCCATCCATGGTAGAGAAATCAGCACAGAATGCTGCTTCGCGTTGAAAGTGCGACTTCAGACAGCGTTCCGGGATGTCTAAGGTTAAATGCAGAGTTCGGTGCTGAGCTGCATTTCCCCTGCGCCATCTGGCATGCCCGGCATGCAAAGCCCACTTGCAGTAACCGCATGTTTTTGTGCCTGCAAATCCACTTTTTAAGCTTCGGTCCTCGTTCTCTCGATCCGGATGATCATGTTACTAGCGCAGCGGCTAACTACCATGATGATCGTCCTGATTGCCAGAGTAGCGCATGGAGCTGGATGAGGCCGAGCTAGCGGTGCTGGTTGGTTTCGGGCCATCAAATCACCCACAGCGACATGACGATTTGACATTCCATGTCTCTCGGCATTGTCAGGTCTTGTCGGTGGCCTGCGGGGTCGCTTGTGTAATGTGCCTTTGGGGGGGTGCTGAGAGGGGTGGCCTCAAGCCAGCGGTCGGGACGCGCATCTGTCTGACAAGAGTACACAAAAGTACCTCATGTTGAACTGCGAGCTTAGTTAGCAATCTGGGCTGACGCCACTCGGCACTAAGTACGATGAAGCCAAGCACGCGAGCGGGCCCGACCAAAGTGGGACCCAGCACGAACTTGACGACGTTGGTATAATCATTTCGAGAGCTACTACTGTCCTGGTGCCAATTGGGGAATTATTTTGCCGAAGCAAATTCTAGGGCTTGCAAGATTGTGATCGATCAGGCGGAGACAATCTACCCCATTTAATCCGCCTTCTTTCTGTTGTTATAGTGCGGGCGAAATGACACGCATCTCAAAATGGTAGATTGTTCTGGAATTGATAACTTGAAATACGGTTCAAAGCGCGCCTAACCTTGAGGATTATGAGTTGATACAAAGTGAATTATACAAAGTGAATTAGCCTCGGCTACAATAAAAGAATACATATAGGTTGTCATGTCGAGCAGCGTGTCCAACAATAAATAGAAGTGTTTGCTTGACGTGGAAACATCCACACCTCACATCACTGGTCCCTGTGTGCCCCTTCTATCCCAGTCGATCGGTAATTGAGACCCGGTAGAACACTCTCCAGAGATGTGACATCCACCATGGCTGGTTGATGGTCAAGATCGGTGGTCTTGCAACGGCTAAGCCTGAATGGAAGATAATGTATCAGCATGTTTTCTCAGGAGTAGTTGACGCAGGGTAGTACTCACCCTCCACGTCTCTTAGATTCTCTTTTAGCTGCGTAGAAGGTGCAAAGCGATAACTCGATGCTTGGGCGGAGGATGCAGATGTTTGAAAGAACCGTCGCTGACGCTGGAGTCTCTGACGAGTGCCTCTCTGTGCTTGGCCTGGTAGCGGCCGACGACGCCGAATACCCCGAATTAATTGATTCAGCTTGCCACGCAGTGACTCGCCGGATCGCTTTATTTGGAATTGGTCATAATATGCGTCAGACTTTTCCTCCCATGATAGATGTTGATTATTGTGTAGCCATCCCCGGAGGTTATTCTCCTCCCACGAGGGCCAAGGAGTGCGATCTGGCATAGCTAAGCCACGGATGACGAGGTATTATGACAGAAATGAGACAGGAATATGGAGGAACTCAAGTCAACGGTCAAGGGCAGCTAAAATCTGCACGGGAAACGCGGGAATGCGGAGTTTCTTATGAGTTCTCAACGCTTGCTGAAAGATACAATGAATGTGTGCACGAATGTGGTTGTTCTTTGGAACGGAAGCTGGATTTGGGGATACCGAGCTATGCAAAAAGCGGCGTTGGGTTGGCGTTCAATTGTGATAGACGCTGGTTAAACCTCGCGAAGCGCGTGAAACCTGAGGTAGTATCGAGATGAACGGTGAAAGCCACCAACAAACAACTACGGGTACTATTGGGTGTGTTTTTTTCGTGCTTTGAGGGGTTGACATGGATAGGAAATGGGCAGTTGCCGGTTCAACAGCCTCTGATTCGTGCGATCAAGGGTCACAAAGCATAATTCAGCAGCCTGTAGACCACTAGAGCTTTTCACAGGCTGATCTGCTTTTTCACAGTCTCGAGGGCGTTACTGTGCCAATCATGCGAAGGCTCCAGTCCAGGATCTACATAGATAGATATGAAATTGTCCAATTTCTACCCTGCGAGAAGTTAGCAAGCGTCCGACTCGAGGCTGTCTAACTTGGACCCCAGCAAGTGTGTTATTTCGGATGACTAGACGGTTCAAATGACCTTTTGGCTCGATCTTGACCGCCCCGCCCCGAATATAAAGTTGGTTTTTCGTGCTAAGTACACCGCAAGGCCTTCGCTTCCGTCTACTAGAACTAACAACCACCCTTCAAAGTCAGTATGCTTGACAAAGGGACCCGTTACCGAGATCGACTACGCTCACTGGATCTATGGAGCCTTCCCAGTTCTGTCGCGAACTCGGATGATGAAGGGGACTCGGCGTCTCATAAGTCGTCCGACAACGAGGTGGCTGCAGAAGCCCACGACGCAGCACACCAACACGAAACAGATGATGTCTCCCTTCAAAGCTGGCCTGTCAAACCTCAAAGTGTGGTCGAGTCTGATACGGAGCCCCCTAAGCGGAAATTACCTCGCATCTCGGAGGAAATCACGCATGCACTGATGAAAGAGTAAGTCTATACAACCTCGCCATCAATCTGTTCTACAATTATTGACAGCCTATCAGCTTAGACGTGAGAACCCAGTGCGTACCTCCGGTCTCTTAGCCTTTCTTCTACGTTCTAAAGCCACAAGCTGACCAAGATCTAGATCCGTCGAAGGGCGACTTGAAAAGCACAGTGAGAATAACGAGCGGCTCCAAAAAACTATCAAAGCCTTGACCCGCGACATGAAGACAATCAAATCCGCGCTTGCCATTGTGGAAAAGAAATTAGATGGGAGTTGCCCTGGTATAGGAGATCCTGTGGGGGAGCGGAAGGTGACTCGCTCTAAGCGCCCCAACCAGTAAGGTCTCGAGTCTCGATGCGCCGCACCGTAGCGGGTGCGTCAACAGACAGTCATGTGATTTATCGGGGCAGAGCATAGGAAATACAATTTAGCATTCGTCACTAGAAGCACGTGTGCATGCTTGAGTCAGATTATCCAAAAAATGTACTGGGCCTGGATGTCTTGCCAGGGTTGCGCACGGACATGATCATCGCCGTAGCTTCGCGCTGGGAAATCCCGAAATGACTCTTCGTTTGATCAAACTAAGCCGAGTAAAGCAATTGTAAGCTAGCTAGGTACGAGCGAACATTCAAGTACATGGAAGCACTGCTCTGCTTGTTTCTTCTGCGTCCCTGTCCATGCGCAGGCGAAAGGATCCGCTTCCTGCGCGGTACGCACGTCATCGAGCCCTCAATCCAGCCGAGCCACTACGAAGTATGATCGCCGCCACATTTTCTCCGTTCAAGTCGCCCCTGTCAGGGCCTTTCACGCTCCTGCGCTAGTGTGCAACCTAGTCCCACCTACCCCTCTTTTCTATTCATCCGCTCTGTGCATAAACCGGCCTCCGACGATGATCGCATTCTCTTCAGATCAAGTCGGATATAAGAAGAGACCGCGGCGTAGAAGGGGAACCGGACACATGATGGTCATTTGCTCGTGATGGCGGGTGGAGACCGTTCAGGGAGGAGCGGGGAAAACCAAGGAAGTGTTGGTTTTACTTGCCGTCTGCGCTATCTGGCCTAAGCCTTCCCGAGTTCATTTTCTCCCTAACGGATTTACGTTGCTCAAACGTGAGACTTTGGGCTAGTAAATCTGGCTGATAACAATATCCCTTCGCAAGAGCATGCCACCTCTCGTTCGTGTGCTGTCAAATGGGTCGAGGTATACCTCCGCCGGGAGGCAGGGGCCGACGTCGATCGGGCCCGGACCGACGATGGGGAATTGAATTTGCCACCTGACCACCCAACCAACATCAAGCAGACCCCGTTGGCCAGATCTAGACCTGCAGTAGCCGGCGGCGAGTCATGCTCGCGCACTGGCCCCTTAGCGGTTGGTGGTGTAAACTTTAAATTCTCCGATGTGATTCCCGATTAGCAGTCAGTAAATGTGATCTACGACGTATGTCAAAATAGGTCCCGTTGCGGCCGAATGGCGCTATGCATTGGCCAGCAGGTCTCAGTCGCGCTCTGACCTTCCAGAATACATTTCTCGATGGGCTCTGCTAAATTCTCAGCTATATTCATTATTGATGCATTGCGTTGCCGCTGAGATATATATGATTGGCAACGAAAGTCCGAGCGCAAAACGCCAACCAACATCGCAAGATTTGAATTGCTCTGCACACCCTTTCTGTCACGTACTGCTAGAGCAAGGATCATAAAATCAACACCTAGGCATTAGGCCCGGAACTCGGAACAAGCGGGTTGGTGGAGGGGAATGCACCATTTGTGCCAGGTAATGGGGCGCTTGGGAACACCTGGTTACCCATCTCCCCCATAGGCCCCGAGTTCTGCAGATATGGTGGCTGTAGCACGTCTGAGAATGTCGCCAGGTAGGAGTTTCTCAATTCATCCCTACGGCCCCAGATACGGGCCGCCGTGGTGGATAGATCCCCATGTATCATGCCTAAGAAAGTCTCCATATCTGCCTGCGGCCATTGGTTCAGGCTATTGGCATTGCTTGTCGCCGTCTCAAGGCGGCTTTGCAACTGAAGATTTTCGGTTCGCACCCTCTCGCATTCCTCCATGGCCTGCTTTCTGTCAGCCACCAGGTGCTGAATTTGAGTAGAAAGCTGGGCCTTTTCCGTTCGGTGCTGCTGTGCAGCCTGTTGAGATTGCTGCCGTTCTTGAGCCACCAGATTGGACAATCGCTCTTTGTCGTCCTCGGCTTCGTCCAGAATTTTCAGACATTTGCGGTGCGTCTTGTTCCACTCCGACTGTTTTGTAGGACTTGTTTTCGATGGTTTGGATAGACGGTTCTGAGAGCCGAAGGTTTTAGTAAATGCCCAAGGCTTGCAAGAAGGGAAATCTCCACTACACCAGGCGATCGGTACGCTGGAGGGCTGGGCGTCACCTCAGAGTCCGATTCGGAATTCGCTGTCACTGGTCTTGTGCTCGCGATCCGGTTCGATCCCAGGTTGGCGCTCGAGGTCTTCCGGACCTTCTGCCGCGACGACATAAGATCTTGGGACTCAGTCTTAGACAAGTGGGAATGCGGAAAAGCTTCAGCCACCTAAATGCCAATGAATACAAGGACAGTCAGACGCGTCTTTATGAGGTATGACCGGGTGAAGCAGGCTTGCGAAGGAGTTAGGCAGGCATGTTGCATAAACGGCGTTCTTATCGTTTACTCTGAACGGCGCACGCGAGAGGACTAGACCGCGGCCTTTCACTAACTGAGCCATGGTCACATTGCCACGGTGTGTGGGGCTTGCAACCCGGGATCGTAATTATGAACGAGGCTGGCCAGCTCAACCAACAGACTGGTGGCTAGGCGTAGACAACCAACAAACCAATGTATTCTCCACACCCCCTCGTCTCTCTCGATTGTTCCGGTGTTAATAAGCTAGTATCGGGATTACCAAGCGCAGCACGGCACACAGCATGAACCGGGATTAGACGAAGCAGCCAGACCTATTCTTGCCGGCATCAAAAGGTGCCGGCTTTCAGCATCCGCTTTCCCCGGGTGGGATCACGGCCGGGCTTTGAGTTCACCAAACTTATTGTATCAGTGACCTATATATTCTGTAGTACACTTTATATCAGTCTCAGTACGGTAGAACGGTACAGTACATGACGTAGCTGTCAGTTGTCGACAAATCATGCTTGAATGCTTGTCGGAGCTGAGTATTGCAAGAGCAAGGCTATCTACAATTTTGTTGAATAACGCGCAGTATGTACCTCTGGTTCAAATGTGTCAAGTCTAGTCTGATCCTTCGCAGATCTGTCCCCTCTCCTGTAGGCGCCGAGCCACGCACGGATACTTTGTTAACACCAATCGAAGTTCTTTTTCCCTGTCCCTTTCTTTTATTCCTCCTTCCGGGCTTGAACGGCAGGGATTAAGGTGACATCGACTGCTGTGACATGCAAGCCAATCCGCCATCGAGCGAATGAAGTGGGGTAGCAGGTCTTGCAAATGAGGGGGAGATTTTTTCTTCCAACCCAGATCCGAAAAAATAAAAGGCCATGAAAATCCATATGTTGACAGCCAGGATCAGGTTCTGACCTCGGCCACCCCCCAGCCTTATGCGGGAAGAGCAATGCTACTGCTAAAATGGCAAAGGCCCACTCAGCCTGGCGAGCTTGATGCTCGAGCGAACGAGAAGGTCCCCTCAACCTGGCGAGCGTTATACTCGAGCAAATATGAGAAAGGCCCACTCAGCCTGGCGAGCTACGTGCTCGAGCGAACGAGGAGGTCTCCTCAACCTGGCGAGCTTGATGCTCGAGCAAACGAGAAGGTCCCCTCAACCTGGCGAGCGTTATACTCGAGCAAATATGAGAAAGGCCCACTCAGCCTGGCGAGCTACATGCTCGAGCGAACGAGAAGGTCCCCTCAACCTGGCGAGCGTTATACTCGAGCAAATATGAGAAAGGCCCACTCAGCCTGGCGAGCTACGTGCTCGAGCGAACGAGGAGGTCTCCTCAACCTGGCGAGCTTGATGCTCGAGCAAACGAGAAGGTCCCCTCAACCTGGCGAGCGTTATACTCGAGCAAATATGAGAAAGGCCCACTCAGCCTGGCGAGCTACATGCTCGAGCGAACGAGAAGGTCCCCTCAACCTGGCGAGCGTTATACTCGAGCAAATATGAGCAAGGCCCACTCAGCCTGGCGAGCTTAATGCTCGAGCGAACGAGGAGGTCTCCTCAACCTGGCGAGCTTGATGCTCGAGCAAACGAGAAGGTATCCTCAACCTGCCGAGCGTTATACTCGAGCGAATGTGCGAAAGGCCCACTCAGCCTGGCGAGCTACGTGCTCGAGCGAACGAGGAGGTCTCCTCAACCTGGCGAGCTTGATGCTCGAGCAAACGAGAAGGTATCCTCAACCTGCCGAGCGTTATACTCGAGCAAATATGAGAAAGGCCCACTCAGCCTGGCGAGCTACGTGCTCGAGCGAACGAGGAGGTCTCCTCAACCTGGCGAGCTTGATGCTCGAGCAAACGAGAAGGTATCCTCAACCTGCCGAGCGTTATACTCGAGCGAATGTGCGAAAGGCCCACTCAGCCTGGCGAGCTACATGCTCGAGCGAACGAGAAGGTCCCCTCAACCTGGCGAGCGTTATACTCGAGCAAATATGAGAAAGGCCCACTCAGCCTGGCGAGCTACGTGCTCGAGCGAACGAGGAGGTCTCCTCAACCTGGCGAGCTTGATGCTCGAGCAAACGAGAAGGTATCCTCAACCTGCCGAGCGTTATACTCGAGCGAATGTGCGAAAGGCCCACTCAGCCTGGCGAGCTACATGCTCGAGCGAACGAGAAGGTCCCCTCAACCTGGCGAGCGTTATACTCGAGCAAATATGAGAAAGGCCCACTCAGCCTGGCGAGCTACGTGCTCGAGCGAACGAGGAGGTCTCCTCAACCTGGCGAGCTTGATGCTCGAGCAAACGAGAAGGTATCCTCAACCTGCCGAGCGTTATACTCGAGCGAATGTGCGAAAGGCCCACTCAGCCTGGCGAGCTACATGCTCGAGCGAACGAGAAGGTCCCCTCAACCTGGCGAGCGTTATACTCGAGCAAATATGAGAAAGGCCCACTCAGCCTGGCGGGCTTACTGCTCGAGCGAACGAGAAGGTCCCTTCAACCTGGCGAGCGTTATACTCGAGCAAATATGAGCAAGGCCCACTCAGTCTGGTGCGCGTTATGCTCGGGCAAATGAGAGAAGCGAGGCCATCACTTATGTGGTAAGAGTAAGATCCACCTCGCGAGCCGGCTCGGACTTCGTTCTCCACTTTGCCGCGTCGCGCACTTCGTAGATGGAAAATTAGTAATCCAGTCTTCCACATAAGGCTGGGATCTGCATTCACTGTAGCATATCACTTTGTTAGCTGGACATCAAAGCAATGGTTTGTTTGGCAGTGTCAGAACCTCGGCAAACGGGTCTCCAGTGCCACCTTTAGTTTCTGGATCCCGACGAGGGTGTCGGAAGCGTCGGCCTTGTTCAACGTTTATTTAAGATCAACGTTTATTAAAGATCAACGTTGAAACTAAGATCAACGTTTAAATATATTCGAAAACTCCGATTTTTGGGGCATTCTCGAGTTTCTTCAACACCACGTAAATATTGTTGAGAATTCATCGATTCTGTGGACCAAAGCCAGCGTATGCGAGGTGGCGAGAATGATTCCTCCGCATCGTTTTCTTCAGTAGCGTTCTCACAGAGACGATCATAGTAATGTCAACTAAAACTACAAGTCTAAATATCGTTCGTGTAGACAAGCCTGTCTGTGTAGAATGGTTAGTGGTATAGGGTTGCCGTAGTCATAGAGAGCGACCGTTGGTAATGGGTGGTTGTTCATAGAGTAGTCGTTCATAGAGTGGTCGTTCATAGAGTGGTCGTTCATAGAGTGGTCGTTCACAGAGCGGTCGTTCACAGAGCGGTCGTTCACAGCGATCGTTCACAGCGGTCGTTCACAGAGCAGTCGTTCACAGCGATCGTTCACAGCGATCGTTCACAGCGGTCGTTCACAGAGCAGTCGTTCACAGAGCAGTCGTCCAAGCTGTTTGTCTAACGAGCCTCCCCGGTGAAAAGCAATTTCCTCCACCCGCATTACTTCACTCGAACGGTTCATTGCCCTAAACTGATAGATCTCTTGTTTCCGCGAGTACCAAAGGATCACCGTTCGTGCAACATCCCTCTTGCACGAGAACAGCCCAAGAAGTGGACTAGTAACCCAAATCTCCATGCGCTGTTAGGGAGGACGAGGCGTCTCATGCGTCTTGCACAATCGCACTTTACACGAGCATAAGCACAAGCACGATGTCGATGCGCAAATCCTTCAACGTTGAGCTCCTACTGTTGACCGGTTGTGCAGTATGCCTGCGGAGCAGGCTCTCGCCCTGTGACTCCACGATATCGTAGCCTGGAGTCCTTGGTCACATAAGGTATAGCAACTAGCCGGCACTTGAACAGCACTTGCTCGTTCAGGTCAGATCTGGCTAATTTTCGCGTCACCTCCATAGTCCAAACCGAACATCCACGGAGGCCTTGACGGGTGAATACGAAGCGAGCATCGGATCGTCAGAAAGGGTGACGTGACTGCGGGTCTTGGCAGAAATGCGGATTACACGGTCAAGAACGGAGCCCCTCCCCTCTTCTGCTGGCAGGCCTAATCAACCTCCTGACTGACAATAACGGACGTGCGGTTTTATCGGTGAAAATATTGCCAATACTCCAATTATTCCGCCGCTCACCTTTAAATCACTTCAATGCCCTTTGTTCCGAACCCGATCCATTTTGCTCCACTCTCTCTAGATTTTGCCCAATTCTAGAAATGCACTTCCCACAACATGCTCTTTTTCTTGGCCTTTTTGCCAGCATTGCGCTTGGTGGCTCTCTGAGAATCATAAATAATAACAAACAGTGCATGGTGTGGTCCGAAGATAATTATGGGTGTACGGATTACTCCACCCCTTTTGCTCAGCTTGATGGAAAAGATTGTTCCGGTAAGTCTCGTGCTATGGCATTTACCGCACCAAGAACTGATAGGGACTAGATTTCATCGCAGACAGTGGCACGATGAAGCTTGATATATGTGGTACAAAGGATGGGCAACAGCTCGCCTGGGTGGATGTGGACAAGAAAGGCACGGTCTCTTTTTTGAATATACAAGGCGACACATTCACTTGTGCGTTGGACAACAACTTCATGGTGGGTAGCAAGTGCAGTCCTGCCAGTGCGAGCGCATCTTCCGCGTCAAGCCGATCGTCTACAGCCACCTTCAGCCAATTGAGACCTTCCATTTCCATCTCCCAGTCCACGGCCACAGCATCTACTCCGCCCGCTGCATGTTCTTGTGTATTGGTTGTTGTGTGATCCACGGTGATACACAGCCGTGAGAACTGACTTAGGCAACCTTGCAAGGTAGATTCGGAGATGTACGGGGTAGTACCCGGAAAGTAGGACGGCCGTGCTCCTTTAGTTATTTTAACATTGTTTGTTTGATTGGAGAACGCAAATGATTTCCACTCCCAATCTTGTTGGCTTATCCTATATCAAGCCTAATCCGATACGCTTAGTGGGACAAAATGAAATATTACGTAAGCAGTATTACCGTAGCCATGCAGCATGATCTGTCAATACGAATACCGCGGGGGACCGGAGATATAATTATCCCTCATGTTTTATTACTTATATAATCTAGAATCCCCCTATAAATTGACAGAATCAGGGGTAATACAGAAACCGAGCTTTTTACATCGTTGATTGGTTGCATACAAAACATTCCGACATGATCCACCGGTCGGAGCCCTCGGCCTAGCCCGCCAATGCTTGTGTTCACTATGCCACAGCGAAAGACATCTACCGAGAATAACCGCCTCTGGGAGGTCCAAATGGCCGCATCCTTCGACCTGAGATGCCCCGACATAGATACCTTACAGTACTTCAGACTCAAAGATACGATTGTAAATAAATATCAGAATATTCCTGTAGTATATGGCTTGTCCGCCATCTGACCACCATTCCCGCGCCAGGTCGTTCATTGACAAAATTCCGCCTCGGCACCCATTTTGACGTCGTTGTGGAACGCTTCCTCATCGCTTTCCTCGAAAGTCAGGGTAATTTCCTGTTTCCTTATCAATGGTCTTCTACCCAGGGATCAGTTCCTTGAGTCATACCGTCGGATAATCCGGGGGAAAGGTCGACTGTATAATGCGGCGTTCTCCATCCTGGGGCCGGCGAAGGATGACGATGTGTACCACCTCCAGTCCAAGCAAGCTTGCAAGTCGAGAAAGTAGTCGAAACATTACTCGGTGAGGATATAGTAGCCGTTGTCGCGGTCGTGTGGGAACCGCCGGTCTTGGAAAAGTAGTTGGACACTGTGAAGAGTCATACAGTAGAATGAGTAGGGTTGGAAGGGAGATATACAGCAGCTCGTCGTTTACTAAAGCTGCTTGATCCTGTTATTCGCTCAGTATCTGGAGAGCAGATTGCACAGCTTATGACAGCACGACCAGATGAACGATCTGGTGCATAGTTGCGACCGTCGGCCGACCCTCTCCTGTCTCGATGGTGGCGGTTTCCTTGGTGGCCATATAAACGTTGATGCTGTGAAGCAGATCACAATCAGTATGCTTACTGCAGATCATCACCACTTTTCAGGTCCCAGATTGTTGTGATATTTGCTCCTCCGTTATAAATTCATCATTTCCACATACAGTATCGTTGATGCCTCAAGATTCAAAAAGTCACTTTCATCGGACACCTCAATCGTTGACAAAAGCCCGCCTCATCAGCAATGACTTCCAGTACTCTGGACTACTCAGTAAGCATCTTTATTTTACAGTACCAGCAATGTGGGTACTGACTACGAATGTAGGGCGTGCTCCGCATGATTGCATCGCTCAAAGTCTGGACGCTTCGTACGGAGCAAATTCAGACGCAGCTAGAGCAAGAGCTCGCGGCGACCCAAGAGAACCTCATGCATGCCACAAACGAGCTACAAGAGGCTACTAAACTTGCCGACATCCTCTATGAAGTGTGTCAAAATTTGGGTCTCGTGACGGACCATCTGATCAAGCAAAAAGGCGTCGAAGAGGATAAACAGGGCTCCCAGAGCTTCGAGGTGGTCCTGAACGCGGTGGTGCACCGGTTGGACAGCAGCAAGGTCATCAATCACAGGACGTCAAGGTGTTCAAGCGAGGCTTCAACCCCTTTCGAGCTGGCTAACCAAGATCAAGCTCCCCAGAAACCTGCAGTGAGCGCGTCTGAAATGTAATATAGTTCATTCAAAGCTGCTTCAACAATGTTTACATTTCTGTGCTTGTTACTTTTCTCATCGTTCGTGAGCTTCTTCTGGTATCGTCTATCTTTGCGTGGACAATAAGTACCCTAAACGGTCAAAGCGTGGTTGGATTCTAATCAACGGCCGTGGGTCCTCGCAGAAGCATGGTCAACAACTCAGGATCTTTCTGCATGAGCTACTGCTTCCCTTTGTTTAAACGAATTTAAATCCGCAAATTCGCCTAGCGTATGCTTTGTCTCGAGGCAGGCCTTATATAATGTCTATTTAATATCCGCACAGCCATTCACCATCGTCCTGGAAGACATCGAAGCAACCAAAGATGGCGGCTACAAATTCTCATGGCCCCGCACAGAGGCAGACGCATTTACTCCATTCTGCGCTGCATATGTCGCCATCAAATTTGCAAGTTTTTAACCCGGTACCACAGCGAGACATCATGGCCAACAATATATCCATGGATATTGAGCGAGCTAGAAGATCCCAGGCTCCGTCACCCGAGCCGAGTCTTGCGGATCGGACAGCAAGCGCAAGTCGGGAGGCACTGGCAGGTTTGTCTTACTCAATGTGCTTCACCAAGGTAGACTCGGCTAACCGCAACCTGAAGAACTCGCGGCTGAAGCGGCCAAACTATCCCGTATGATCCAGGCTTTGCGCCGGTTGGACATGCTACGTGGAACTATTCCTCCGTGCAACGACAGTGTAGGGCTTGTTCGATCCTCAATTCCTCAAATAGATTTCAACTAGAGATATTTGTCGTCGTGTAACGCCGACTCGAGTGAAGTTTAAAAATACTAGACTGCAAGGTCAGACTTGTAAGCAGCAAGACATGTCTAACACAGCCAAAACATGTGGACTCGCTATTGTATGTA